ATCGAAGCGTTCATTTCATTTGAATTAGACTGCTTTCATTATATAATTCATAATACTCGTTTGTAATGGAAAATTTCCGAATTCCCCAGGGTTAACTTTTTTAGCTATGACAACTGTCAAACCTCAAGAGTAAAAATAGTAATGTTTTCCATCTGCAAATTAAGGTTTCATCAATTTTTTTTGTTAGGTACAGATGTCAATTTTACATTCGATTATTCAACAATCCTGACCGCGTAAAAGGAGATAAACCATTAACCACCGCGGAGAGCTAACCTATAACGAAGAGTCACTACAAAGTCAGTAACGGAGGAAATTGAACGACGACGTCCCAACGGAGTAAGTAACGCTTGCAAGTTTTCTTCTTTTCGTGTTTGATGCAAGATGCTATTATCGGAGACACATCGAAAAATCTTTTTTCGTTTGAGAAGTTTTATTTCCTTTTAATCCTCATACGCTGTCCATGAGCATTCTAACTCACAAATCTGAACATTGAGAGAGGGATCTTTTCAAAGCCGGATTCTTACAAATTTTTCGCTGAAGAGATAGTTTAAAGAGTCTAGCTAATCCAGTTCTCTCGCAAATCCTGGCATTTTCAAAATCATCGATAATTTGCAGAAAGTAAGAGCGAGCATTGCGAGTAAATTGTCTTGCTTGAAAACTCAACAAAGTGAACGAGGACTCGAACCCAAAACCGCCCAACCCAGAATTGCTCCCTAGATTCATATGAATATCAGAATAATTCCTTCAAAACTTGTTGCAGGCTCATTTCATTCATATTAACTTCTGAATTCGTTTTTTTTTTCTTTCTTTCTTTTTCAGAAGAAAATGAAGAGCCTTGTCTTGTTTTTGATAACTTTGGCTCTGGCCACGTCACTCGAGACCGATCAGAACACCGAAGTCGCGCTGAACGAATACGAGAAGATTGGTAAGTGTTTCAGTTTTTATCAGTTTTATTAGAATCTACCTCAGGTCTAACACGGTGTGCAACATCCAACAATACTTTCGCTAATCAGACTTCTACTATTTTTAAATCAGTTTCCTCTTCCTTTTTTTGCACCTCTCCTTTTAGTTAAAGGAGGGGCCAGCGATCTTTGGCGCACGCAGCTCTTTTAACATAATAAAACGATCTATTTTTTTCCCTTTTAATATATTTTTGCTTGTCTTATTCCTTCGCATTTCTGGCAAAGCTTAATATAATATAGAGTGTTAAAATTTTATTTTAAATATACTCATTTTCCACAAGAAAATCGGCGTGATCCCAACCTCTCTTGTTTTTTAGAAATACCTATTTTCGATTTCGAGGTATCAGATACAG